AGTAGTTAAAATATTTCTTGTAAATCTCAACTTATAACATTAATGTAATCAAATTAAATATAAAACCAAAGCTATTTGCCACTGCCAGGGCATTATTATAGAAAATATTTTATAGTTTGTTATAGAAAAACAAGTTATGCTCAGAGTCCAGAGCCTCGATCATAACATTATAACAGGCACCTTCCGAGTAGAGACCTGCACTATCGCAGGACCCAACGCAACAGAGTGCAGCACGGGACAACACTTGATGGGGGTGCGAGCGGGTAGAGACTCGTGTGTGCGGGATGCGGGAGAATAAAGGTGTACTCACACTAGGCAATCTTAACCATGCCCGAGCGCGTTTGACCCCCAAAGACGGCCCTGGCCTTTCATAATAGGCCTAATAAAAAAACAGTGTTAAAGCACAATAAAATAATTGTTGGCGTTAATCAATTAATGCGTTAACGTGATAATAACGCATTAACTTGCCCAGCCCTAATTAAAATGTATTAAATGAAATTGTATTTATATATTATTCTCTAATAAAAAAAAAAAAAGTTAACATATAGAGAAAAATTCAAATGATTTGCATGATTGAGCAAAAGAAACATAAGTTATTTTAGCATTCTTGTCAGAATTTAGTGAAATATAATAATATAACAGTTTTAGAGATTTCAATCTTTCGCCTTTCAAGTAGACATAGAAAACAGCTCTCTGGTGGCTTAAAGGGAACTTACTTTGACTGATAAGTTTTTAAACGTTTGGTATCTAGTGTATTTCAAACAGAAGCATGGCTTAGAAACCCACATCAAGAACATCAGTATCGCTCTATTTTTACCCAGAATGCATGTATTAACCTGCTCCCTTCCCACCCTACAGTGTTGGTGTACGTGGGTAATGGATTTTGGCATAAAAAGAAACAGTAGTTGAAGGGTTGGTCGGTGCATTTTCTCTTGGATGTGGGCCACGGCTCCGGCTGATCAATACCATCCATCCTCAGATTCGCCTCCAGCTCTGGCGTTCTATGCAGGAGCTAGAGGACACTGGGATACAGGGAGATTTTATTTTTGTCTATGCAGCTTGGATGATTTTTTGGGGTGGAGGGGGTGGGGATGTTCTTCAGCATTCACATTCTTAGAGGATGGAGAGAGAGGATAAGTGTTGAGTCCAAATGAAGTGCTGTTGGCCCGTGTGCTGTTCTTCACGAATAATAGCTCGGTTCAGAGCAGTGGAGAGGGTTTTTGATGCAGCCGGAGTGCTTTTCTCCATCAGGAGACCCAGAAATGCCACAGCGCGTTCAACACAGCGAGCGTGTATAATTTTTGAATGACACTGAAAAGAACTCGCCAAGCACTTCACTAACCTTTAAAATTCATCCGGACCCGAGTGACCACAGGAAGCAAGTTGTTTTTGTGTGTTTGCTGCTTATTTATGAATGAATGTGTGTGTTCGTTTATTTCTAAAGGTGATGTCCCACCAGCGGACTCTATTTTGGTAGAGGAAGTCACATCTACTAAAGTGTTTTTGCTGAAAAAGAATGAAAGGACGGTGATGGATGAAATCCATCCTCTTGACATTTCTTTTGAGAACATAAGAGCAAGAACAATTGTAGACTGACTGAATGCAGTTTATGGAGAAACTTTATCCTGAAATGGTGTGATGGGTATTTGTCTTGTATCTTTGTATTCAGGAAACGCACATGCTTCTGCTTTCTTATTTTATTAGTGATTTAAAAGCATTAGAACTACAAAAAAACGCATTGATTACACAGTCACCATTAATAACAATCAGTGTTTGTGAGCTTTGTGTTTGCTGAGGGAAAAAATCTCAAGCAGATCCGATCAGGACAATGACTTTCCTACCAAAAATCAGGAAAAGCAGCTGTATTTGGGATGACTAGTTTAGCCCAGCTAATGACCAGTAACAATCACTTTAGACCAGCTGATGACCAGTTTAGACTAGCTTACATCTAGCTTGCTCTGCTAATGACTAGTTCAGACCAGCTAAGGATGCATTTAGATCAGCTAATGGTCAATTTAGACCAGCTCTTGACCAGTTAGACCAGCTAATGACCAGTTTAGACCAGTTAGTGACCAATTTAGACAAGCTAATGACCGGTGTAGACCAGATCATGACCAATTTAGACTAGATCATGACCAATTTAGACTAGCTAATGAACCAGTTAGACCAGAGCTCATGGCCAGTTTAAACCAGCTAAAGACAAGTTTAGACCAGCTAATATCCTATTTAGGACAGCCAGTTACCAGTTTAGACTAGATCATGACCAATTTAGACTAGCTAATGAAGCATTTAGACCTGCTCATGGCCAGTTTAAACCAGCGGAAGACCTGTTTAGACCAGCTTTTGGCCAGTTTAGACCAGCTTTTGACCAGTTTAGACCAGCTAATATCCCATTTAGAACAGCCAGTGACCCATTTAGACTAGATCATGACCAATTTAGACTAGCTAATGAAGCATTTAGACCTGCTCATGGCCTGTTTAGACCAGCTTTTGACCAGTTTAGACCAGCTTTTGACCAGTTTAGACCAGCTAATATCCCATTTAGAACAGCCAGTGACCAGTTTAGACTAGATCACGACCAATTTAGACTAGCTAATGAAGCATTTAGACCTGCTCATGGCCAGTTTAAACTAGCGAAAGACCTGTTTAGGCCAGCTTTTGACCAGTTTAGACCAGCTAATGGCCAGTTTAAACCAGCTAATATCCCGTTTAGACCAGCTATTGACCTGTTAAGACTAGCTACTGACCAATTTAGAGTAGCTAATGAATGATTTAGACCAGCTAGTGACCCATTTAAACCAGTTCATGACCAATTTAAACTAACTAACAACCAGTTCAGACCACGTAATGACCCATTTAGACCAGCAGCTAATGACCAGTTTAGACTAGCTAATGACCAACTTAGACCAGCAAATGACCAGTTTTGACCAGCTAATGACCCATTTAGACGATCTAAAAACCAGCTTGCACCTGTAATGAGCAATTTAGACCAGCAGCTAATGACCAATTTAAACCACCTAATGACCCATTTAGACCAACTAATGACCCATTTATACCCAGATTCTTGAACAAATTGTGAATGAAGCTGACGACTGAACATCAGTGTGAGCGAATCACTGAGAATGAGTTTTCACCGAGCAGCTGTGTTCATATATCAGACTCCTGCTAGGAGCTGTCTAGTCAGTTTGATTGCTGGGACAAACAGTATGAATGTTGTCCCCGTACCTCATGCAGCTGTTTTGTGTCTGTAGGTGGCAGCTCGCACTGAGAGCGGCGTGAGGCGTCGGACGCAGGCGATGTCGCGCTCCACCAGCAAACGCAAGAGTCGCTTCTCCTCACTATGGGGTCTGGACACCCACTCCAAGAGAAAGAGTAAAGGTCATCCCAGCATTAACCAGGTAAACTACACACAAACACACCTAATTCACACTTAGTGTTTTCTTCCAGAACACATAAACATGAATATGCAGAGATCAACTGGCTCTGCATAAAAAATACAATGCACATTTTTCAACAAGCAGATGAAATGCATACTACATAAAACACATACAGTTGGTTTTCGTGGTTTGGTGGGTGACTGCTGAATGTTAGATGTTATTTTTAAACAGGTTTTTGCAGAAGGAGATGATCCAGTTAAAAATCCTCTAGAAGGCATGTTTGAGGGTTCTTCTAGTGATACGACGGTAAGAAACATGCATCTCTCAATACTACACTATCTATAAAAGTGGCAAAAACACACAAAATACTATACAAGACCACTGCACCAAATCAAAGCTGCCGTGTTCAGAGAGATGCGCTCTTGGCCGGATCTCTGGCGTGGGTTGGCGGAGATGTGGGCGTATATTTATCCCTAGCGTTGGCGGAGGTGTGGGCATTTGTGGTGTAGGAACGGTAGAGATGGTTGTGCTATAATCCACTGACCTGGGGCACAGATAAAAGTGTCGATGTTCTGATTCACTCACTCCATCATAAGCAGAGAAAGAAAGATGGTGGAATGGTAGCTGAGATTACAGTGCATTATTATCCATGTTTAATGGCTGTGTTCAGATGTTTAGAAGTTTTGGGTCAGTAAGATTTAATGTTTCTGAGAAGTCTCTTCTGCTAACGAAGACTGCATTTATTTGATCAAAAGTACAGTAATATTGTGAAATATTATTACAATTTTCTATTTAGAACAGTTTTGTATTTGAATATATTTTAAAATATAATTTATTCCTGTGATCAAAGCTGAATTTTCAGCATCGGTACTCCAGTTTTCAGTGTCACATGATTCTTCAGAAATCATTCTAATATGCTGATTTGCTGCTCAAGAAACATTTCTGATTATTATCAATGTTGAAAACAGTTGTGCTGCTTCATATTTTCGTTTAAACCATGATGCAATTTTTTTTTCAGGATTCTTTGAAAAGGTTCAAAAGATCAGCATTTATTTGAAATATCTTTTTTTAACATTCTAAACATCTTTACTGCCACTTTTGATCAATTTAATGCATCCTTGATTAATAAAAGTATTAATTTCTTTCAAAAAATAATAAATACAAATCTTACTGACCCCAAACTTTTGAATAGTAGCATAATGTATACTACAATCCAATTTTTGTAAAAGTGTAACTTTTAGCAGTCCATTCAAATCTTTAAAAATCAAATTCTAATATTACTTCCAGTTCAATGATCACAATGGAATTTGACTATCAAGTGGGAAACGGTACACATGCTCTAGTTGTATACTGTACATTTTGTTACATGTATGAAAATGTGTTTTATGCATACAGAAAGTGTACATACTATGCACAAAATAAGAAATAATGTAGTATGCTAGTACGATATTTCAATTATATCTCATTTTATGCTAGAAGTTATTAGCACACAGTGCACCTCAGATAGGCGATGAGTTCTTAGAAATTATGAGATGAGGATGATCATCATTTCACATGATTAATAGCATCTCTAAAGGCCTCGTTCACAGCTGCGGCTTCACCGTGCTTTCATTTATCACACTACAGAAAGACACCAAGACCCCAGTGAAAGGTCTGCCAAGACCCAGCGCAGATCATGACATCTGGTCCAGAGACCACCTCACTCCATCATGGGTGCTGCTGCCAAACGACCAGCCTGTGTTAGCCATCATCCAACCCGGAGAGTCGGCCCTCGACATGCTGGAAACGATCTGCAAGGTAACGCCAAGAAACCCAAGATCTTTCTAGTGCAAGAAATATTCATCGTTCTCTTCTGATGCCAGGTCGCTTGAATGTCAGTTTGAAGGTCACTGGTGTAGTAAACTCAGATGCTGTGTTCCTCAAAGCGTTCCTCAGAGGGTTTTTAAAGTCTAAAGCGTGTGTCCACCCTGTATAAAGCAATTTATTTGCTTTCCTCTTGCTGCACGCTGAATGAAAATGTGCTGCATCCTCTCTGATATGAGCGTTTGGGCCTTTTAGCGTGTGATTCCTGTCCATCTGGCCCACTGAGAAGAAGATGCAGCCCAGTAACATGTCTTGGCGTTGCTCTTCATCCATTAAATGTGTCTGCTTTCATCTCTCCTGGTCTCTCTCCAGGCTCACCAACTGGACCCCACTAAACACTACGTGCGGCTTAAGCTCCTCATTGAGAACCAAGTGCAGTTTTATATCCCCAAACCGGAGGAGGATATTTATGATCTGGTAGGTTTGGAGTTAAACTCGCTCTCCCACCCGCTGCTTAGATGCTCTCTCATTACTTTCATCCTGCTGGGACATCACACTTCATCCAAACACCCTGTCTCTTCCTCTCTCCTTCACACTTTAATAACAAAATCTTAATTTTTTTCTGTGGAACACAAAAGGAGATGTTTTGCTCATCCCGTCTCCCTCCATCTCTCCTAAAAAATGACCATTTTAAGCTATGGAATTGCTTCATTCTTTCGAAGCTTCACTTCTCTACATCCATCATCCTTTAACTTCTGCTCAGTGTCTTCATTTATTATGTTTTGAGTGTCCAGGTCAGACACAATCGATCAAGAGGGAACATAAAGTTCTCTGTCTGTGAAATGTGATCTGTATTCTGTCACTCTCGCCCTTTCATGCCGTCCCATGTGTGTGTTGTTTATGCTGTTTGAATGTGAATCATCAAAGTCGTGGAATATTAATGAGTAACGTCCTGTGCTCTTCTTCTCAGCTGTATAAGGAAATCGAGCTGTGCTGTAAGATCAGGAAGGTCATTCAGTTTGATCGGGATGAGTCCTGCATGATCGGCTACGGTGAGAGCCAAAAATGTGTTATGTTCATCAAATCATGTCTGGTTTACATCCACCTATTTATTCTGGGAATTTTACAACGGTACCTGGAAAAGTAATGGAAATGACAAGTGTTCCCAGTAGTTTTTAAATGATTTTTTCAATGAAAAGTTTACTTGTATGTGAGTATGTTATATTGTCATCTCATGGAGGACGACATGGTGAGATCACATGACCAGCTGAATCCTACTAGTTTTATCTCAGTAAACTGCATGTTTTTGGACTCGACAGATGAGTTGAGATGTGATTATTGAAAACAGTCAATTTACCTTGATTCTACATCCACATCACAAAATGTCAATATAAGTCGTAGCAATGTTATTCTAGTATTATTTATATACTATTATAGTATTTATTAATGATTTGAATTAGCTTTTATTTTTCAATTTTTACATTAATTTTAGTTTAAGTTTTAGTAATTTTGTTGTGCATTTTATTTATATATTTTATTTCAGTTTTAGTGATTTTAGTACTTCAACTCATGTATTTCAGTTAGTTGTAAAAGGCAAAATAAAAAATTAAATTAAAGTTTTTTTCATTTAATATTTATTTTTATTTCAGTTTTATTTCTATTACTAAAAACAATTTTTAATATTTTTAATTAATAACAACAGTCGTAGAAGATTATATTTGTTACTTTTATTCAAATATTTATTTATATATTATTTTTGCATTTTTATTTATTATTATTATTATTTATGTTATTTATTTATTTTAGCATTTTTGTATTCAGCTTTATTTATTACTGCATGTGGGAAATCCTGAAGAGATTATGCTAATTTGTCTATATATGGTGGTAGTAGTTAAAGGGACAGTGCTGGGAAAAATGAATCATTCTACAATAATTTATTTTATAGTCCGTGGAAGAACAAAGAATTCAAATGTGTTTATAATGACATGATGGAGAGTAAATGATGGCAAAATGTAAATTTTTGGGTGAACTATCCTTTTAAAAATCTGACCTTCTAAATGAAAGGTTGCAGGTTCAAACCCTAAGAGGTTTGCTTCATGATTATACTTGATTATGACGTCTATCACGTCATCTCTCTGTTTTTCTCAGGTTTTTCCATTTCAGTGGTGGAGGAGGACAGCGTTCAGCAGCTCTATATCACTGACGTGAAAGCTGGAGGATTAGCGTTCGCTAAAGGTTCATTAGCTCGTTTCACCTCCTAATTACATTCTCTTGCTCTTTTCGCCCCTGTCTCTTGGTTTGTTCTTTTCTTTCTCTCTCTCTCTCTCTGTCTGCTGAGCATCTGCTTAGGAATCAAGCTGTATAAGTAATTGCTGTGATATCTGTGCTGTGCTCCTGGTGTTATATAACATGCTTGCTGAATGCTGACGGCAAATGAGAAAGTATTATAATGTTTGCCTATCTATTACTACTAATAATAAAGAAATAGTTATAATAATTTTTTGTATACATTTTAATTCCTTTGTTTAACAGTTCTGTCTGATTATTAGATAGACTTCTATCCGTATTAGACAGAACTGAACGATGACAGCGAACAAGAGGGAGAATGTGAGCTGTGTGCGCTCAGGCGCTGCCGTTCTCAGCGCCGTCAAAATAAAAGTCCCTCCTCGAACACATCGGCCAAACAGAAAAACTTATCGGCCGATGCCGATATTGAAAAATGCCGACATCGGCCGATATATCGGCCTTGGCGATATATCGGTCGACCACTACTTGTAACGCACCTGCACGAGGAACGTGATGCATTAAATGGAACGTATCATGCGAAACAGGATTTTCCTTGCTCGTTTTTGAAGATTTTTTAGAGCATTTACAGGCATTTTGCACACAGGAACCTTAAAGGTACAATAGCAGAAATGGCCCATTTAATTCTAACATTGGAGATTAAAGTGCTCTACATAAACAACAACATGTTGCACTGAACTATTTTATGGTAGTGAATGAATTTTAAGTAAATTTATATTCAGCATTTTTCTTACTTTCTTCACTGGACATTAGCTAATATTATAAGTGGATTTCAGGGCAAAATATAGAATATGGTCCCTTTAAATGACCATCAAAGCAAGCTTATCTTGACATCCAGACGCTGTCAACATGCCGAATAAGAGTCTCGTCTCTCTGAGTGATGTCTGCGTGATCAGTGTGGCAGGATCAGGTCCGACTGGCTTATTGCTGACATTTCACATCGCCCAGAGAACTGGTACAAACCTGCAAGCTGAACTAACTAGTGTATGTAAAAATGCAAAACTTATATACAATATAAACAAGAGGTTCATGCTCTTTCTTTCTAAAGGAGTTTTTAGAAAAAGTTTAAAAGTGTTTAACTTTACACTCTTATTAATAGCTGAGAAACATTATTAAATAGCCTAAATATGAAAAGAAATGCATATTTAATATATCATCCAGAAACATTGCAATGTTCAGTGCAGTTATCTGAAAATTAAAAAATGATTTGTGTTTCCACAGAGGAGATTCTTGACGATGGAGTGGGTCTGATTGTGGAGACTTTGGGAGACAGTTTAGACGACGACTCGAAGCTCTTCGCTGAGTTTGATGACTATGGAAAGGTAAAAAGCTCTGCTTACCTGATCAAAGTTTTTCTTTGAAGATATTAGCCTGGATCTTGTGTGGCTCCACCCGTAATGACGGGACACTTTTCCTGTCTGTGCGTGGGTTTCGTTCACACTCACCAAATCTAGAACTGCAGGCCTTCGAAACTGAACTCTGAGCGAGAAGAATCACACTGCAGAAACGCTTCACCATCTGTCATCTGTGCTGTTTTTAAACAGGGACGCTTACAGTTTAGTCGCTCTCTATAATTTGTCGTGTCACACTGATAAATTTGACCCTGTCTGTCTGTTAATTGTTTTATCTTTCTGTCTGTCTGTATATCTATCTGTCTGTCTGTCTATGTATCTATCTATTTGTCTATCTATCTTTCTAACTATTTTTATCTGTTTGTCTGTCCATCTATCCATCCTTCCATCTATCTATCCATCTGTCTTACTGTCTATAATTAAAAAATGATTTGTGTTTCCACAGAGGAGATTCTTGACGATGGAGTGGGTCTGATTGTGGAGACTTCGGGAGACAGTTTAGACGACGACTCGAAGCTCTTCGCTGAGTTTGATGACTATGGAAAGGTAAAAAGCTCTGCTTACCTGATCAAAGTTTTTCTTTGAAGATATTAGCCTGGATCTTGTGTGGCTCCACCCGTAATGACGGGACACTTTTCCTGTCTGTGCGTGGGTTTCGTTCACACTCACCAAATCTAGAACTGCAGGCCTTCGAAACTGAACTCTGAGCGAGAAGAATCACACTGCAGAAACGCTTCACCATCTGTCATCTGTGCTGTTTTTAAACAGGGACGCTTACAGTTTAGTCGCTCTCTATAATTTGTCGTGTCACACTGATAAATTTGACCCTGTCTGTCTGTTAATTGTTTTATCTTTCTGTCTGTCTGTATATCTATCTGTCTGTCTGTCTATGTATCTATCTATTTGTCTATCTATCTAACTAACTATTTTTATCTGTTTGTCTGTCCATCTATCCATCCTTCCATCTATCTATCCATCTGTCTTACTGTCTATCTGTCTGGCTGTATCTATCTATCTATCTATCTATCTATCTATCTATCTATCGTCTGTCTGTCTGTCTGTCTGTCTATCATCCATCCGTCTGTCCGTCTGTCTGTCTGTCTGTCTGTCTATCCATTTGTCTGTCTGTCTTTCTATCTATCTATCTATCTATCTATCTGTCTTCCTGTCTATCTGTCCATCCATCTATCTGTCTGTCTATCCATTTGTCTGTCTAACTGTCTTTCTATCTTTCTAACTATCTACTTATCTATTTGTCTGTCTTCATTCATTTATCCATCCTTCCATCTATCTATCAATCTGTCTGTATTGCTATCTATTTGTCTGTCTGTCATCTGTCTTTCTGTCTGGATATCTGTCTGTTCCTCTGTCTGTCTGTCTGTCTGTCTGACTGTCTGTCTGTCTGTCTGTCTGTCTGTTTGTCTGACTGACTGTCTGTCTGTCTGTCTATCTATCTATCGTTCTATCGTTCTATCTGTCTGTCTCTGTAATAATGAACTGTCTGCAGTGGATCTTGTGCCGGAAGCTTTTGCTGAGTGTTTGAAGATAATTAGTTTGCGTTAAGACGGGTGACAGTAAAACAGAGGTCGTTTGGTTTTCTTTTGCATCCTAATTGCTTTATTATGAGGCACAATTAACCGAATCTTGGAGGCGGCAATGAAGATGGTCTCTATCTGAGAAGTGTCAGACAGACATAACAGTTTCGCATTTAGACGTTGTGAGAGTGTGTGTAGTTATTTTTCCACATCTCCAAGCTGCAGGATACAGTCACAGTTGTTTTATTGGACGGACGTGTTGATGGATGTGTTGAGATGATGGAACCAATCAGATTCCACACGACCCTTCCATATTTACATAGACAAACTATTTTCAGAAACCTGATTCCAGAATTCCCTGTTCATCTTTATGTCACTAGAGCACTGTTGAGTTGAGACCTTAGTGGTGGAAGCAGAAAAAAATATATTTACTGATGTTCATCCATTACCCAACCTAATTTCTAGACCTTGCATGGTTAAAACCCAGTCTTTGTTCCTTGTCCAGCTGTGATGGTCTTCTCCACTGCAGGTTTAGACTGGTTCTGTCTCAGTCCATAAACGTCTTACATGCGTGTCTCTATCCGTGAGAGGAATAATGTACTGCAGGGATACTCAAATTACTCAGGGGCCACTTTTAGAAAATGAGGTGAAATTGTACCTGATTTGAATTGGTTTTAAAATATGTAGCTGTTTTATAATGTATGCTATATTTTTCATTTTCCGGAACATTGTAGTCAATGCATTTGTGATGTTTATGAATGCCATTCATAATATTTATGAATGTTTCCAATATGTTGACTTTTCAACTACGTCACATGCACATTTTTTATATACTTATTATTCATGTGTAAAGTCAATAACAATTATTTTTCATAATAATTGGATGCAGTAGTTTAGAATTCAGTCCATTTTGTCTGTTTTCACTGTTGAGCTTTCCACATTTTGTCACATTTTTTGTTGCTAAGTGCTATTCACACAGTTTGAATATGCTCCAAGCTGTTGCACCAATCAGTGATGACAGTATTTGCATATCCTGATGTTTCACTTCTCGATTATTCATGCAGAAATACGACTTGCGAAACATTTTTGGAATTAATCTGCTTGCTCCACCAATTAAATGCAATATAAAAATAAGTTTTACACCCCCTCTGATCTGCAATAAAGTGCCGTAGCATGATAAAACTAGATCTCTCACATTATAAGCCCGGTCTTTGAGTGTCTCTGCAGTGCAGAATGAGTTGGTTCTGGATCTGAAGGGTGTGTTGCTGTTGCAGAGAGACAGCGGGACTCTGGGTCTCGCTGGGAGCTTGGAGAAGATTGCTTTTGGCATGCATAGACATGTGTCTGTTTCTTTGCATAGCACCATCTCTCTGGCCTTTATTAAAATCAGAAAGTAGCATAGAGGGCAGACGGGGAATGCAAAGGAATCTATAATCAGCTTTAGTGCACACTCATATATATATATATATATATATATATATATACAAACACACACACGTAGTGCTGAATGTAATGTAATGTAATTCAGGTTTAGTCTGAACGTGCTCTGAAAATATTAATAATTTGGAGCCGCGAGACACAACTAAATATGATCTCCCTCAGCGATTCGGCTTGGTTTGTTTATCTTCTCTGCCATTATGTGTCCCCCCAAAAAGTATTTGGACACTTAAGTCACACTTAATGTGAATATCAATGCATTAGAAACAAAATATCAAAGAAGTTCCATTTATTTGTTTTGAAGTTGCAATATTCATCACAGCAGTTCATCACAGTATGTCCCCAAAAAGGTATTTAGATACTTAAGCAAAACTTAATATAAATGTCAGTGCAAGAAAATATCAAAGAAGTTGCATTTATTTGCATTTACTTCTTTAAAAACATGGTACAAGCTCACTCTTCAAGCAAAACATTTCAGAAAAACAAATTAGTGAGGCTAAAAGTCATTGCAAAAATGACTCAGGAAAGTTTAAAAGGTTTGTGATGAGAATAAATCTCTACTTTCAAATGCCACTTAGTTTGATCATTTCTTATGCAGTGTCATGCATGCGTTTTAATTGTGATATTGCAAGTGTCCTAATACTTTTTGGAGCCACTGTATTTTGTATGTAATGACCTGGCATTGTGAAAATGTTCACAAACCTCTTTTTTAGGGTTCTTTGCCTTTTATTGGGAAACTATTGGGGAGAGCCTAGAACTTAACATTCCTAGATGAGCACCAAAGCTTAATGTATCAGCCACTAACCACTGCGCCAAGACTCACTTCATTGTTCTTTATTGTTTCCCTCCTAAAGGATCCGGTTTAATTGTGGAAACTTGTTGTAATGTATCCATTTTTAAAGCGGCTGTCAACATTTTCACTTCGTGAGCTCAGGTGTGAATAATGGGACATTAGCAGTGCTTCACTGTCTGCTGGGATATTATTCTGTAGATGGACTAGAGAGGGATTTGTACTCACGGATCATTTGAAACATTTTTCTGTGTGATTTGTCGTTCTTTGCTTGCTGATCACCACATTAACAGGCCGTTTGGCTTGCGGTGTGTGTGATTTGTTATATCAGGAGACGTCTTTGATGCTAAAAGTGTTTAGTAGAGGATTTGGCAAGTTCAGTCTTCAGCGCTGTCTTCTTCTGCAAGCATTTCTCATTCTCTTTCAGGTGGCTGATATTTTTTGCTGTAACAGACGATTCTCGTTTTTTGTGCATTTCCATTTAAAAGATTTCTTAATGTTTTTGAAAGAAGTTGCTTCTGATCACCAAGGCTGCATTTGTTTAATCAGAAATACTGTTAAATCAGTAATATAGTGAAAATATTATTACAATTTAAAAGAGCTGTTTTGTGATGTAATATATTTTAAAATGTAATTTATTCCTGTGATGCAAGTCTTCAGTGTCACATGATCCTTCAGAAATTATTCTAATATGCTGATTTGCTGCTCAAGAACCATTTCTTATTATTATCAATGTTGAACTCAGTTGTGCTGCTTCATATTTTTGTGGAAACCATGATACATTTTTTCAGGATCCTTTGATTAATAGAAATTCTAAAAGAACAGCATTTATTTAGTAACATTATAAATGCAGGGCTTAAAATTCTCCGGCACCGTGCCGGTGTTGTGCCCATTTTCGATTCCCTGCCAAATTATTGCCCCCCTCGTTGAAATCGCTACCTGATTGCCTAATCCTAACCCCCCCCCTAATCCTAACCCCTCCCCCACACCTAACCCTAAACCTACCAATACTAGGGGGTAATAATCTGGCAGGGGGTCAGAATTCGTCACTACACCGGATCTCCGGCGTGCAGTGTTTGGCTGCGGAAAAAGATAATCCTAGCCTGCGTCCCAATGTGCATACTATCCATCCTAAATTCTAAGTGATAGTAGTAATTTTCAATACTATTTAGGGCAGATAGGGTGGATGGTATGCACATTGGGACGCAGGGCTACATTTAAAAAAACAAAACAAAAAAACGTTGATATCACTTTCGAGTCCATGAGTTCGCCTACCAATGGTATGTGAGGAGCACAGCTTTCACTCTCAGCCAAACTAACATTACTAGCCAATCAGAATTTTTTTGCTCTTATAAGAGTCGCAGCCCTGATGAATGGAGAAGCGTGACACGTTGAAAAAGCTGCGAGACGCAATGGTCAAAGATGTCAGGATTTGTAACAAATCATTTATAAACCTTTGCCAACACAGGAGAATACATCAACCTATTTCTAAATATGCCATTTATTATACATCGTGATTTTAAAATAAAAGTTTCTGAGTTTGCATGTGGCCAAATATTATAATTAAATGGATTTAAATGTCGTTGAATCACTCTGTAAAGTGAAACGTCACCAGGCTGTTGGCGCCCTCTGCAGGTATTTGTTATAATACATAATGTACTTAAGTTGGTTATGTTCATATTATGTATAGGCATATTGTTATATTATAGCATATTGTTGTTATTATGTATAGGCATATAAACATTGTGTTTTAACAGTGTTGTTCAATAAAACCATGTAATTACTTGGTTTTGATATTTTATTTGAGCCAATTATTATTGCCTCACCGTTAGTTTATATATAAATAGTCATACTCAAGCCTGGTTTTCACTTAGGTCTATTTGTGTTACTAAAAAAATATCAGATTACTCAATTGTCAAAATAATCATTAGATTACTTGATTACCAAAATATTCATTAGTTACAGCCCTAGATTAGTTAAAATATTATAAAATACAATTGCATTGTTTTACTTTGTAATTAAAAGACAAATATTTTGTAATTGAAAATTTCTTAAAAATAGTATTAAAATATTGTCGCGTTGTAGTGAACCAATATCTGTATTTTGTCTCATCTCGTGAGCTAAGTGTATTGTCACACCCCTAGTGTCGATAAGCAGTGATATAGCTCATAATTTTCCAAGTGTATGATATAGCTTTCATTCTTCAGGTCAACCATATATTCATGAAAAAAAAATCAGTTTGAATAAGGAAAGCAATAACTTTGTCATAGTATCCTTTCAAATGTGAAAGTTGCCACAGTCATTGGCTCAGGATTTTCTTTGCTTTAACCCCTGTAAATGTCTTTACTGTCACTTTAGATCAATTTAATGTATTCTTGCTGAATAAAAATATTGATTTCTTTCAAATAGTCCTGTCAGATCGATTAAATCAATTTAATCACATGCAAAATAAAAGTTTGTCTACATTTTATATTTATATATAATATAAATCATATATAAATATGAATATTAATTAATTTAATCACATGCAAAATAAAAGTTTGTGTCTACATTTTATATGTATATATACTAGTCAACATTTGAAGTGGATCAAAACCTTTCATCAAAGTTATAGCTCATAATTTTCCAAGTGTATGATATAGCTTTCATTCTTCAGGTCAACCATATATTCATGGAAAAAAAAACTGTTTGAATAAGGAAAGCAATAACTTTGTCATAGTATCCTTTCAAATGTGAAAGTTGCCACAGTCATTGGCTCAGGATTTTCTTTGCTTTAACCCCTGTAAATGTCTTTACTGTCACTTTAGATCAATTTAATGTATTCTTGCTGAATAAAAATATTGATTTCTTTCAAATAGTCCTGTCAGATCGATTAAATCAATTTAATCACATGCAAAATAAAAGTTTGTCTACATTTTATATTTATATATAATATAAATCATATATAAATATGAATATTAATTAATTTAATCACATGCAAAATAAAAGTTTGTGTCTACATTTTATATGTATATATACTAGTCAACATTTGAAGTGGATCAAAACCTTTCATCAAAGTTGTCCTAAAACCTAAAACCAAAATGCGTTCTTGTCTTAGGACAACATTGATGAACTTTTTTGATCTACTTGAAATGTTGACTACTGTATAATATAAATAATATATAAATATGAATATTAATGATTATAAAATTATAATCATTAATTTTATAATAAAATATACAATTAATTGATTTGACAGCCCTACTATCAAAGATAATTTCTTACAGACCCCAAACTCCATTCAAAATTAAATGGAAGTTTAAATTTTAAATTTTAAATGAAAATAGTCCATTTAAAATTTCCAAACATTGACAAAGAGAGGACGTTTTTTAGCGATAGTATGACAATAATAAAGTAAATTCGATCGTTCTGACGTGACTGGAAGGCAGCATGAGTCTGTAGAGCTGAAGTGATTCTGTCGTATCATTGTTCTGTGGCGCATCTCGTCGGCCGTGTTTAACGATCGTGCTCCTGCGCTCCACCATCACAGCATGTGTTCACGAACCGCAGTGAAGCCTGAATCACAGGATCTGACGGCGCATTTCTCTCCATGCTCTTTTAAGTCCTAGTGCATTCATTCTGTTTATTTTCCCCCGCTGACTGTCTCTCTCCCTCCACATGGCAGTTCAGATGATCAATCTTTATGAAAAAGACACTCGCTCCAGTCCTATATTATAAATCATGAAGCTGCTGTTCAATTGATTTGCTCATCTGAATGCACAGCTTCTGTGGTGGTCTTCAAAATGAATCATTCAATTTCTATTTGTGAGTAAAGCCTCCAGCTTTTACTTTACTACTAGTAGACTAGTTGTTCATCATCTTTAGTTTTATATTTTTAGCGGTGATGCTTTAATTAGCATGATGACAGGTGTTAGAAAGTTTGCTTGTTAAAACCCTTCATCCCCTTCTAAGCGCCACTGCTATAGACATTTTTGGCCTTTGCGTCATGACTCACAGTCCTCTACCATAAGCATTGCATTTTAAGATGGCTTGTCAAGTTAAAAACTGTTGATTAAGGGATAATACAAGACTTCTTCACCTTACAAATGGTTGTCAAAAGCGAAAATGAAATGTTACAAATCATATTTTGTGGAAAGTGTGATGTTCTAAAGCAAAATAGGCACTATTTTGTGAATCGGCACCCAAAAATAAGTAAGAAACGTGCATAGATTTCATTCAGCAAATATGATGCAGGGTGGTGTAATTAACCAGTCTTTCAGGCAGCCGACTAGTACATTTTAGTTTAGTAGTTTTGCATATCTGTAACTACAGGTCTCTCACATTCTCACTGCACAGATATTCTTGAACTTGCCCTGCCCATCATGAACAATAACACCAACAACAACCTTGGAAAGGAGATTCCTTCCACTTCCTTTTCCTCTTCCTCTTCCTCTCTATTCACCCTTGATTGTTTTTACGTGTGAGTTGAGTATCTTAACTTATGTAGCTCAGTGTTTGCTCAGCGTGCCAGGAAGAGAGAGAGAAGATAAATGAGGTGGTGTCGCATCAGAACGGGCGGGTGAATACAGAGTTGGACGAGCATAGAGGAGGTAGGCGAACGAGAGAGAGAAAGAGAAGAGCGACTGGTTCTATCTCTCTCTCTCGTTCTCTCTCTCTGCTCTGTCATTTGTTCTATTTGTCATAAGCGGAGGGATGTTGTTGGGCGCTGCAGCAGTGAATCTGTAATTTCTGAGGCATTTCCTATAACTGATCCAGCGTCAGTGACGGTGGGCCTGCGTGTTCCTCTCCGAGGCTGTTTCTGCTGGTCCTGAGTCAGTCATGTCTGTGCTCAAACGCAACAGACACAGCAAACGCTCATCGGACTCCATATATGACCTGCTGCATCTGGTGAGAAGCGTTTTTTTTTTTCATAATTTATGGATCAGTTGGATAGTTTTTTCTTATCCTGAGCTGGGGCTTATTAATGCTTTGGGTTTCTGTGCTGGTTTTTGTTGGTGTTTTGTGAATTGTTCCTGTCAGAATGTCAGATGTTTGGGTTTTCTAGTCAAGAGTGACATAATTGTTAATATATTGAATTTTACTCTGGTAATACCGTGTTGTTTTTTGCATGATTGTACCATGGTGTTCTTTGAAATACCTTAGAGTACCATGTAAATATCATGCATATCATCATATATCAGAGTACCACGATGTTACCATCTAATACTATGATTCCACCATGTGTTTTTTTTTGTAGGGTTTTACTTTTTAGCCTTTTAGTCTTTTATAGAGCAGTCAGATTGTGATTGTGAGCAATTTTGTTGTTTGCTCAGCGTGCCAGGAAGAGAGAGAAGATAAATGAGGTGGTGTCGCATCAGAACGGGCGGGTGAATACAGAGTTGGACGAGCATAGAGGAGGTAGGCGAACGAGAGAGAGAAAGAGAAGAGCGACTGGTTCTATCTCTCTCTCTCGTTCTCTCTCTCTGCTCTGTCATTTGTTCTATTTGTCATAAGCGGAGGGATGTTGTCGGGCGCTGCAGCAGTGAATCTGTGATTTCTGAGGCATTTCCTATAACTGATCCAGCGTCAGTGACGGTGGGCCTGCGTGTTCCTCTCCGAGGCTGTTTCTGCTGGTCCTGAGTCAGTCATGTCTGTGCTCAAACGCAACAGACACAGCAAACACTCATCGGACTCCATATATGACCTGCTGCATCTGGTGAGAAGCGTTTTTTTTTTTCATAATTTATGGATCAGTTGGATAGTTTTTTCTTATCCTGATGCTTTGGGTTTCTGTGCTGGTTTTTGTTGGTGTTTTGTGAATTGTTCCTGTCAGAATGTCAGATGTTTGGGTTTTCTAGTCAAGAGTGACATAATTGTTAATATATTGAATTTTACTCTGGTAATACCGTGTTGTTTTTTGCATGATTGTACCATGGTGTTCTTTGAAATACCTTAGAGTACCATGTAAATATCATGCATATCATCATATATCAGAGTACCACGATGTTACCATCTAATACTATGATTCCACCGTGTTTTTTTTTGTAGGGTTTTACTTTTTAGCCTTTTAGTCTTTTATAGACCAGTCAGATTGTGATTGTGAGCAATTTTGTGCTTTTGCATGCTGGAAAAAAGAGTTTAAACCAGCCTAAAGTGGTCTTGACATCATACCAAACTGGTTTCCAGCTAGATTTTTGATGGTTTTAGAGGGATTTTGGACACTTTTGAACAGTTATAAACCAGTTTATCCTTGCTCATAGACCAGCATATATCTGTTAAGACCATCAAACCACCTAAGGCTGGTTTAAGTTGTTATTTTAAGCAGGGTGTGGTGATCTTGTTAGGATTTCATGGAGGAAAGTTCACTGGAAGTGTGGATTTTCCTTTGTGTAGGTGTAGGCATGTGTTTGTTTCTTCACAGTGTGCAAAGTTTTATACTCATAAGATCAATAAAAAGATCCATAATTCCATTGTAACACCAAGTTCATATAAAGTCAGGAATATACTAATATTGGAATATGAACACCCTTATCTGTGAAGTTATGCTGCAAGATTTCATACTTAAAATGACAGTTACCTTAAAGTCAGTTGACATGTATTTGGCGAATTTTCTTCAAAATTTCATTAGGAATCCATACGTTTGGGAATTTTGCACAAGGACGAAAGATTTACAGCACAAATTTCGCAATTGTTTCAAGCTGTTCATACAGATTCGCCACTCGTTGACTGGCAAAAAGCTGCTTGATTTGAAAATGACGTCTTTGTGAGAACATTAACAATAGACAATGTACTTTTTTGCCTACAAATTTTCACTAATGTGACGCATCTTTAGGGTTAGGGGTTTGTTCAGACAGGAGTTTGTGAGCTCTACACCTCAGCAAACACCACACTAACAAGCGTGTTTTCCTTTCACAGCAGTGACATTGGCATTTTCCCAGCAGTTAATGTGTTTTATTGTGTTGTGTGCTGGACGTGCAGGGTGTCGTATTTTCTCTCTGCTGTTATGCTGTTCTGAGACTCAAGGACGCTGAGAGAAACACTGTAATTCATCCTTTGTGTGTCCTTGTGTGGGCATTCGAGGACCGCTAAGACACTCACCGCTAATGAACAAGGAAAGCAGCTTTCACACATTAAAAAAAAAAAAAAAAAACTGTGTCAGCCAAAATAAGCACCTATAGTCTGCTAAGTAAATAAAAGTAGTTGAACGTCAATATTAGCACTTTTCTCTTTGCAAAATGCTAATCACAAGGATGGTTTTAATGAGTAGCTGGTTACATATTTTCATGAACCAGTTGTTTTTTCTGACCTGGGGCTTATTGATGCTTTGGGTTTATATGCTGGTTTTTGTTGGTGTTTTGTGGATTGTTTTCTCAGAATGTCAGATGTTTGGGTTTTCTAGTAAAAAAAAGTGCCATTGTTTTGTTTTACATAGTGTAAGCAATTTGTAAAATTTTACTGTGTTAATACTTGATACTAGAGCCCGACCCATATATCGTTTTGCCGATTTTATCGGCCGATACTGCCATATCATTCATATGCCACCGATATGAATATTTTTTTACAGAACGTAAAACGCAGATAAAATGCTTGTACATGGTGTAATTACATAGTTTGTCCAGCAGAGCGCGCTCCATTGTTGGCTACTGACGATCTGGATGAAACGCTTTAAAGCTTAAGTGTATGGAATACCATTGAAACTTTGAACAGCCATATGAGACCATTTGAGACCACCTCCGCATCGATAGCCTCCGGTGTCCGGGAGTTATAGGCCGCCGCGTTCACGAGATAGTGACACCAGCCAACACTTTCACTTCAGAAGGGAGGTCTCTTGTTCAGGCAGCAGCATTCAAGCGTTGTCTTATTCGACCGTAAGTGCCCTGCGAAGTGGACTTCACTTGATATTCCGCCATGATTCCAGTTCGAAGGGAATGTATACGTTGCATTCAAAAGGCATTAAAGTGCGTGAGACGTGAATTTAAATTGTATTTATTTACAGAGGTATATTATGTCACAATTCACACTTCTCTAGTAAGTTTCGTCTGTGTGTGAAGACAGTAGTGCAAATCCGTGAATGAATGTTCCGAAGTGAAATAAACTTCAACAGAATAAAGTTGAATGGGATTGAATTTAAATAAAGTTGAATAAACTTCCACTTTACTGTTCAGTGCACTGATGTCAGACTCATTTTGGATAATAAAGTTTATTGTTAAATTGTTAAGTGCCCTGCCTCCATTACATATCTTTGTCACGCCATTAAAAGTGTTTGATCACCACATTTGAGTGATCATTGCAAAAAATGTGTTTATGTATATATATTCTGTTTATGTATATACTGTATTCTATATATAGTACCCATCAAAAGCTTGGACACACAAATGGGAAAGTGTCCAAACTTTTGATTGGTACTGTGCTATAATATACACAAAGAATATCGGCCGATATATCGATATCGATACCGATATATCTCTTTTTCAATCACTGGGTTTTGTACGAGAGGTTTTCTGTGTGCAGTAGCCTTGATCTTCCTCTTCAAATAATCTTTTATGTCTCTGTTTTAAAAAGCCTCCGATGTTACTTTTGGTGGATGTGTGGTGTACGAAAGGGCTACTTCTCTCTCGCTCTCCTTGTTTCCCAATGCACTTGTCTCTGGCTGTGCCGTTTCAGAGAATGATGGAGAAATTCTGTGGAAATCTGACAGCTGCTGTATCTGAAAGCGTGTGAACGTGTCTCTGTGACAACGGGATCACAAACATCTTGACAGTTCTCTCTCCGCTTGTGGTAGCTGATGATGTTTTAGCTAATGACTAAAGTGACAGGTGAAGCCCGACGCCCCTCAGAGATGAAATTCTGCATCTCTGATTTAGGACCTGATTTATTTGTTTACACATAGACAGAGACACAATGTGAAGCCAATATTCCCTGACACTCCTGAGGATTTATTTTGAAGCAGTTCTTCTTTAATAACACACATAATAATGCTCCTACTACCTGACAGATGTAAAATTGTTGCCCTGAGAAATCACACCTGATGTAGTCTTTGTGAGAAGCATAAACAGCCCATGGTCAATCAGAAATGCTTTATTTACATGCATTGAGGTTTACTGATATCCGGTTACCTGACAGAGAAGGCAGGTTTAAGATAGAGAGCGTGTAGTTGAAGATATGTGATCTAACTGAGTTGTGTGAAATTTTGCAAAATGTCTGAAATCACTTTCAGAACTTTTAAAGCAATGAAGTGAGCTTTTCTTTACTTAGCCCTAGGACTGGGCGATATGGCCAAAAAATTATCACGATCATTTTTTTCATTATCAGTTGATATCAATAATTATCTCGATAAATGTCAAATCTTTCTTTCTTTCAAGTTTAAAGCCAGATTTTGGCTCCAAAGTGAAAGTTGTAGAAATCAGACCATTAAGTTTCCTTAACAAAATAAATATCTTAATAGAAAAATTAATTTCTAAGTTTCTGCATGTTCTGCATGTAATATTGTTTCAAATCAAGAAACATGTTTGTGTTGCCTAATAATATTAATAATAATATTACTATTTTGTCTCTTAGAAATGCACATTTGATAGTAGTAGCTAGCTGGGATACAGATGTACATTTTTGTTCATTATCAAAATAAGTAACATCTGTAAAAATCTCATTTTTGTATGGTGAAATTTAATTATTCAGTGTTTTTTTTTTTAAAATAATAATTGGACTTCCATAGTAGCATACCTTTAAATCATGATAAACACAGTTAAAACCACACATATAGCACACCTCAATACCATGGTAAAAATATAACTATATGGTTTTTAGGTATTTGTAGGTATTAAAACGGTAGTCTAAAAACATTTAGTATAGACTAAATGCACACATGCTATAGCTTAATCACAAAAATACTGTAATTATACTCCATTACTACTTTAATTCATTTAATTCATGTCTACATTAATAATAATAAAAATTAGATACAAATACCCACACTTTCTGACACAATACCATGGTGTAGTTAGTGTTACTACAGTAAATCTATGGTAAATGATGGCGATTTGTAGATTGAAAAGTCTCCTGACTGGATCGTTGCACACAGTGTTTCTCCTGTTTGTCAGCGCTGTTTCATCTAGCTTTAAACTAGTTTAAATCACAGAGTAATTTGTGTTCTTCGCTGAATTTGAACGCTTCGCACTGGATCTCACAGCGCTGTTTAGTGAGTAAACACATCTGCTCTAGTGAGCTCGTGCCGCACCGCTGTTTGAACTTTGATCCGAGCGGATAAACGGTCCGAGTGTCGCGCTTCAAATGAGTCGCGCTGTTTCGTTCCACTTTTGGCGCATAAACATTATATCAAACATTTATATTAACTCTTCATATCATTTTATCGAGGAAATTTATAACACAATAATTATCGTTATCGATTTATCGCCCAGCCCTACTTAGCCCCTTTCACACAGTAATACCGGTAAATTGCCATAAAATTACCGGAACTACTTTACCAGTAAATACAAAAATGTGCTGTTCACACAGGCAACGGCGTGCTGTCTTTTTTCTGGTAAAGCACCGTTCACACTTCCGTTTCAAAATACTGGTAAATTCTGTGACATCATTAAGCAGAAATGACCTCTAAACGGCTGCACCTCACGGTGTGTTTGTAAACATGTTTTCATTTTTGTGTAAAACGCGCACATTCATGTTTTTGGCCCAGAGACATTGTATGACTTCAAACCGAACTACTCAGCGTGGAGTAAATGCGTCATCTGCGTCAGAATGTTATGATTAGATTTTTTGCCATTGAATTTTGAATTTCAGCGGCTCTGGATTGGCCCAGAGTAGACGTCTTATGTCACCGCGTTCTGAACTCGTATGTGCTCATACTGGTAATCTTCATTCTGCGTTCACACACAGCATCATTCCGGCAATTTACTGGTAATGTTACAGCTTCTAATACCAGTAAATTGCAGGAACGAATTTAACGGTATTTTTCCAAACCCCTCCTTCGCGTGACGCTAAACTGCGGTGATTGGTCTGATGACCCAGTCTGTTGTGATTGGTCTACTGTGTGCAGCGCATGTCAATAACGGAACGCCCATCACCATTACTTAGCCCACAGCTCGGTGGTAAACGCCCAAACAGCCATGGTATATTATGCATTAGCCCAATGCAGGAACGTATTGATAAAGCACTGCAGTTTGTACACCAACGTATTGCTCTATTCTTTATCAGAACTCTAAGTAATAACAACAACAAACATTCACTATTCATCGACACAATTCTAGACAATTGCGAGCGAACAGATATTGCTGTTAGCCGGTTAGACGGAGACCTACAAGCTGCACGGAGCGAACACAACTAAATACGTATTTTGCATGCCACAGTACAGAGTACATGACAGCAACAGTTTTTAAAAGAATGCAGTGCATATAATGCATCTTCAAACGGCTCTACACGATCCCAGCCGAGGAATAAGTGTCTTATCTAGCGAAACGATCTGTCATTTTCTTAAAAAAATATATATTTATACACTTTTTAGCCACAAATGCTCGTCTTGTCTAGCTCTGCGAGGCGCATGCGTACTCTGTCTGTGTACAAGGGTTCAAGACAGGGTTCATGTCTCGGAGTCGACTCTTTCTTTTGAAAGACTATAACTTTATACACGGTGCACTTTTAGATTTAAAACTTTGCAGGATGATTTAATTCACTTAGAGCTGTGTTACACACTGCGTGAAAGGTAATTTAAAAAAAAATCATAATAGGGGCACTTTAATATGTGGATGGTGATTTAGAAGGAAACACTTTAGCCTCAACAGAAGGAGTGAAAGAGAGTGAGAGAATTAAAGATGCTGGATGGATGGATAAATAGATGGATAGATGAGCAATATGATTAATTCATTGTAATTAGTTCAATATTTTCAGTTCAGTTTTTTTTATCTATTTTATTAATTGGTTTTTATTTATTTATTTTATTATTTAGTTTTTTTTTTTTTTATGTGTTAATTAATTAATTAATTATTTTATGTTTTAATACTTGGTTCAATATTTTTATTTATTATTAGTTTATTTATTCATTTTATTTTTATTAATTTTTTTATTAAATTATTTTTTATTCCGGAAATTGTAAAAATATATTGGTGTATATATTTAATATTAATGCAGTAAATTCCTATTGTTATATAATGCAGTGAATGAAATACTTTACAAATGAAAGGCACTTCATGTAATTAGATTATTTTCTCTTTTTATTTGAAACTTCAAGGTCACAAAGCAAAAGATCAGATCAGATTATTCATAATGAATGGATGAGTCTGGCATCAGTGCAAAACAACTTCACATTATGAAGCACTTGAATTAAAAACAAAAGACTCAAAACAGTGAACACCAATATTACAAACTGACTCATTTGCACTGCAGAATAGGGAGATATATTTCATATATCAGTCGAACATGGCAAGTTGCGACCTTTTAACACATTTTTCACAATCTTGATTTGTTCAGGACACATCCGGCTCTTCATTTTCACATTACTGCATGTTTCTCATGTGTAAATATCATAAAGCTGTCCTGCCTATCGACATCCATGCATATTTATCTACCAGAGTATAAACACTGTAGCAAAATATCTACCGGTTGACACCGGATAGATAGATGGTACTTTACAGTCTGTCAGTGTTACTGCGAGAATGACAGTCCATGTGCCATCCCAGCCGTTCCCATAGCAACCGCATCCATGGACAGGTGCTTATGTTTTGGTTGCCGTTCAAAAGAAATGAAGACATTTCAGAAGAACAGGGAGGGAGGGATGGAGAGAGAGAGCCAAAAAGATGGAGTGATGGAGGAGAGGAGAGGCTGAAAATAGAGCAAATGAGTGCTAATGATTTTTATAGCATTCTTCATTCTGACAGGCATCTGAGCGGCGGGATCCAGCTGCAGGTGCAGCGAGAGTGAGTGTGTGTGTGTGTGGTAATAACAGCACAGGACTGTCAGATGTCTCACTCTTCATCACTGTCTTTCTCTCTCTGTAGAGTACGGAGCAAGTCGCAGCTTTCTGCCGCAGTCTGCACGAGATGAATCCCTCATCCGAGGTTGTCTCTTCCTCGTCCGGCCCGGAGTCTTCCTCGCTCCCTCCGAGCAACGCCACTCCACGCCAGCTCTCCGATGCCGACAAACTCCGCAAAGTCATCTGCGAACTTGTGGAGACGGAGCGCACCTACGTCAAAGTCAGTACCAGTGTGTGTGTGTGTGTGTGTGTGTGTGTGTGTGTGTGTGTTTTAGTCAGACATGCTCGTCTGTGTGTTAGACTTAAACATAAGTTTGTGCCCTTCATCGAGTCGAGGCCTGGAGGGAAAGAAATTGTCCCCTTGGCTTGCCTTTTTCTGCATCCACTCACTCTTTGGCAGTGTTTGAAATGGAATACTAGCATACTGCGTAGTACATACTGCCTTAAAAATAGCATTTAAAACAGAACGCCATGATTTAAAACAGCAGTTTGTCACATGACCTCACAGAATTCTATGCGGTGTGCTTTATTGTACATTTAAAGGGATAGTTCATCATTTTTTTTTCTTCTATGGAACACAAAAGAAGATATTAGTCATGTACACACTGCAGCTAAATAAAATTCACCATTTAATGCTTAATGCTGTTCTGCACACACACATTTCAGTAATTTATGGGAGTGACAACTGCATTCTACAACTGAATTAATTCCTGAAAAATGCAGGTAGTGACAACAGAATTTACAGAAATTCTATACAGTGAATATAAAACTGAATTGAAAAAGTAGTTGTTAATGATGTATTTAAATGCATATCAGAGTTTTGTTTCTGTATGTGCAGTGCAAGAAATCACAGGGTACGTTTTGACTCTGTGTTGCCAGACCTTGCTGGATTCTTTCTACAGTATGTAGCTCATGTTTGCTCGCTGTGTTGAGATTAACGACAGAGCCGTGACAGTATTTCCCCGTCTCTCTGAGGACAGCTGAGATTACAGTTACACCTTCACCAACATCCTGCCCGGCGCTGGGAATATTTGCGGTTTGTTCGGATTCATCTGCCTGTTTGAGCAAAGAACTAAATCTACAGTCTGAATGAAGCACCCCAGCAGAAATGAAACCTGACATGAGTGTGTGATGAGGCTGAGCAATATAGCTGAAGAAATGATGTTTATATGTATGTGTGTGTGTGTGTGTGTATATATATTATATACCATGGACCAAAGGTTTTTTTTTTTATTATGTCCTGATATGGAAAACCCTGGAATATATATATATATATATATGTGTGTGTGACCCTGGACCACAAAACCAGTCATAAGGGTACATTTTTTAAAATTGAGATTTATACATCATCTGAAAGCTGAATAAATAAGCTTTGTTAGGATAGGACAATATTTGGCCGAAATACAACTATTTGAAAATCTGGAATCTGAGGGTGCAAAAAAATCAAAATACTGAGAAAATCGCCTTTAAAGTTGTCCAAATGAAGTTCTTAGCAATGCATATTACTAATCAAAAATTAAGTTTTGATATATTTATGGTAAGAAATTTACAAAATATCTTCATGGAACATGATCTTTACTTAATATCCTAATGATTTTTGGCATAAAAGAAAAATCGATAATTTTAAAAATCTTTAAAATTCTAAAAATATACCCAAGCGACTTAAGACTGGTTTTGTGCTCCAGGTTCACATATATGCATATACATATATATTATATACTATTATAGTTAACTCAAACTAAAGCCATTAAAAAAAATTGAATATGTATTTGTATATATGACTTGATTTTTTTTAACCCATAATTTTGATTGAAAAGCCACTGTCTACCAAGTACCTTTTTAAATACTGCATGTAAAATACAGTAAAAATGTTGTTCTGTTCAAAATAATTTCTGTTCTAACATTGAAGCCTGATATTTAATAATTTTTTGATATGGATCAGTTTTAATATGTATCCTCATAAACAGCAACATGTGCTACATGTATTTTTTACTAAAACACTTAAAAATGGAACTGAAAAATTATTCAGGATCTCTGTGAACAGTTTTGAGTGATAACTCAAATGATTCATTAAATCAGTGCTTTGAACCAATCGGAGTTATTATAGTCAACTAAAAAAAAAAAAACTTTGTTAACAGTTCTTCAACTGAAATAAAATAAAATATAAAAAACTATTTTCATTTTAGGTAGTTTCCAACATTTCTAATTTTCATTTAGTTTAACTTTATGCACTAAAATTGCTTAAATAAAAATTTATTTTAAAAAATGAATTAATTATAAAAAGGACAAAAACAACAAAATTACAAAAACTAATTCAAATTATTAATAAAAAATTATAATGGTAACTTAAAATATTTTGAAAAATTGGAACCAGTTCTTTTAAATGTAAGGGTCATTAAACAGCCATGAAACTGGTCAAATATATTGTTAATATTCTACATGTTGTTCATAGGCTGTTCTTGAATATTATTGTGTGTGTTCTCTCACTTTTTCAGGATCTGAACTATTTGATTGGGCGATATTTAACCCCGCTGCAGAAGGAGTCTTTCCTCACTCAGGATGAGGTGAGTCGAAGCGCTGCTGATGGTTTCATGTTATTATAGAGCTGGAACACACCTCCAGAACACAGAATGATATTTCATAATCATCCTGATGGAGAGGAGCGTGTAGGAGGACACAGAGACAGAGACAAACACACACACACACAAGAAAGAAGAGGTAGAGAGGAGAGTGGGAGGGAGACACAAAACGAGGAAAACTTACATCAGACAGAAGAGAGGAAGTTCTCAATCTTCTCTCCGTGTCTCTGCTCCTTTAATGCCCTACTTATGGGAGCTGAGCTCATTATGCAGCAGTGCAGACACTAAAGAGATGTAGTTTGAGCAATATGGAGTCTCTTAAAGGCTTGATACAAATACAGTATCTGGAGAGCAGTATATATTGTCGATGCATATATTTAAAACATATTATATACTGTTTTAGGTACACACATTAAGCTAAAAATGTTCACAATTTAACTTACATTTGATATTGAAGTAATATTAAATATGTATATATGTGACCCTGGAGCACAAAAGCAGTCTTAAGTCACTGGGGTATATTTGTAGCAATAGCCAAAAACATTGTATGGGTCAAAATGATCGATTTTTCTTTTATGCCAAAAATCATTAGGATATTAAGTAAAGATCATGTTCCATGAAGATATTTTGTAAATTTCCTACTGTAAATATATTAAATCGTAATTTTTTATTAGTAATATGCATTGCTAAGAACTTCATTTGGACAACTTTAAAGGCGATTTTTTTCAATATTTTGATTCTTTGCACCCTCAGATTCCAGATTTTTTCAAATAGTTGTATCTCAGTAAAATATTGTCCTATCCTAACAAACCATACATCAATGGAAAGCTTATTTATTTAGCTTTCAGATGATGTATAAATCTCAATTTCGAAAAATTGACCCTTATGACTGGTTTTGTGGTCCAGGGTCACATATATATAACCTTGTATATATGGAGATTTGTATATATTATATATATGTTTATATTTTATTTTATTTGTGTGTTGTGTGTGTGTGTATATAACTAAGCTTAAAACTGAAATAAAAATTAAGAAAAACATTTTAAAAAAACGAATAAAAATTATAAAAACACTTTAACAAAACTTAAAATAAAAACAAATAATAAAAAAACATACAAATAAAAACTAATTAAGTACACAGATTAAAGAATTTAATAACATTAAATTACATGAATCTGCTGAAGTGAACAATTATTTTACACAATTTTTACTTATATAATAACTATTTAAATGTATAACTCTTGGTTTTAACTATTGCAAGTTTTGACCACATTCAATTCAATCCTGCATGTGTATCTGATAGCTGGACGTGCTGTTCGGAAACCTCCCGGAGATGCTGGAGTTTCAGGTGGAGTTTCTGAAGACTCTGGAAGACGGAACCCGACTGGTGCCGGACCTGGAGAAACTGGAGCGAGTAGAAGAGTTCAAGGTTTGTGGCTCTTTTGGGGCATATACCATGTTTTTTTGTACGTGTGTTATAATAATACCATGTTTTTTGAGACGCTACAGTTGCAGTGCATCACTCACAGGCATTCATAACAAGATTTATCCAACGCAAACCATGATACCTGATGTATTTCTCTCAAAATCCCTCTCGTCTTACAGAAAATCCTCTTTTCTCTGGGCGGCTCGTTCCTGTATTACGCCGACCGCTTCAAGATCTACAGCGCTTTCTGTGCCAGCCACACCAAAGTGCCCAAAGTGCTGGTCAAAGGTACGTAAATCTCAGCTGCCTGTCAATTCTGGGATTTTCACAGAGCCGGGCTCCTGGGGGTCTGTAAATCTCAGGTGTGTAATACAATCCCCGACAGTGTGTGGGTGTCTGTGAGGTTGGTCTGCTTCCCCTCGCTGGCTATTTTTAGTATTTAACGTCGATCCTGCAGATTTGTGATGGCTACGTAACAGTGTTTTCCAGTAATTTAAAGAACTTAATGTGCTTGAAAACATTTTGCGCTGTATTGTGAAAAGCATAACAAATGCTACCCTTTCTATCGCTATCAGTCGTGTGACAGCATAATCACATCTTCCTGTGTTTGTGTCCTCTCCAGCAAAAACAGACGCGGCCTTCAAGGCGTTTCTGGACGAGCGCAACCCCAAACAGCAGCATTCGTCCACACTGGAGTCATACCTGATCAAACCCATCCAGAGAGTGCTGAAGTACCCTCTGCTCCTGAGAGAACTGCACTCGCTCACAGACCCCGACAGCGAGGAGCACTACCATCTGAACAGTGAGAGACACTGCTTCATATGGCTGCTTTTAATGTTTTTGAAAGAAGTCTTTTATGCTCACCAAGGCTGCATTTATTTGATTAAAAATACAGTAAAAACAGTAATATTGTGAAATATTATTACAATTTAAAATAGCTGTTTTCTATTGTAATATATTGTAAAATGTAATTTATTCCTGCGACGCGAAGCTGAATTTTCAGTGTCTTCAGTGTCACATGATCCTTCAGAAATCATTCTAATATGCGGATTTTCTGCTTAAGAAACATTTCTGATTATTATCAATATTGAATACAGTCGTGCTGCTTCACTTTTTCTACGGAAACCATGATAAATTTACTTTTTTCAGGATTCTTTGACGAACAGAAAAGTCAAAAGAACAGCATTTATTTGAAATGGAAATCTTTTGTAACATTATAAATGTCTTTACTGTCATCAGTTTAATGTGTCTTTGCTAAATGTATTAATTTCTTTAAAAAAGTGTAGTGTATTGTCCAAATAAGATGTTATAATTGGAGATCTGTTTTAAAGCCATCGATCTGAAGTCTTATGTTTCAACCAACTCTCTGAATGCACTGCTATATAATTGACATATAACTGATATATAATTTATTTTCTCTGCTGTTGTAGTTGCAATGAAAGCCATGAACACAGTTGCCAGTCACATCAACGAGATGCAGAAGATCCACGAGGAGTTTGGAGCCGTCTTTGACCTCCTCATCTCTGAACATGCTGGAGACAAGAAAGAGGTTTGTGAACTTTACATCAGTTTAAATCCAGGCGACTAATTTCACTGGACAAGCAACGTTTTACTGTTTGCATCACTCCACATGTCCAATCCCAGTTCATTATTTGGCATCAATATTAACTATGGTCTTTTGGGTCCATTGTAGGGCTGCACGGTATAGTAAAAAACTCGCATTGCGATATTTTGTTTTTCTGCGATATATATTGCGATATGAAAAAAAATCACCAGATGACTTGAATAGCTCTATTTGGGAAAAAAAATAATCAATGATTGGGGTGATTTTGTAGGTGAGTAAATCAACATAGAAAATAAACAAATTACAAGCATAGATAAATATAATAGAACAAAGATACAAATTAAATAAACAGTGCTTTATATTTTTCAGGTAAGTCTAACAGTATTCAGGTACAGAAATTGAATAATCAAATGTAAAATAACACTGCATAGTCTTCACTGTATAAATTAAATTCAATAAATTGTATTTAAATTGTGTTAAAGCTACAAAAGTGATTTGTGATTAACTTTCATGACTCAGAAATCCTCAGGAACATTAAACTGCCGTGAATATACTGTTACACATCCGTTTTCTTAGTTGTTTACCTTCACCTAAGACATAAGCAACTGTGTTTACAAGGATATTTGCAGAGACATGCATTTTGACATAATTTCATGCGTATGTGTCATTTCAGGCACAAATAGACACGAAAGTAAACGGAATTCAGTGTTCACGTGCATCTGTGTGGCTCTCACCGTGTCTACACCGGATGCCAGCGGCGCAACGCAACAAAATACAATAGAACCCATTATAATCAGTGACGCTGTCTACACTGGATGCGGCGCGACACGACAACTCCCCGACAGTAAACTGATGCCTTGTTCTATTTATGACGTACTGACACAAAGTTCAAATGATTTGCAAAGGTCTCAGTGTAGACAGACTTTAGCTCGGCACGGGATGGCGTGACACGTCCGGTGTAGACACAGTGTCTGTGTATGAGCAAAGAAAACAATCAGTATAATATAACGATCAGTATTCTAAACATCGCACATCCTGCGATGTGACTATCGCTGGTGCGCACAGCGCGATATCGATGCTGAAACAATATATCGTGCAGCCCTAGTGCATTGATTATTTATGATTTTAAATGATCTTCTTTCTAAAATGTGAGTTGCTCAGTATTAACTTATGTTTATGCAACTATTATATAAAACAATATCAAAATAATATTGTAATATATGGTGTCAGTTCACTCTTTATTTTTGCATGTGAGTGTAGCTTGGGATAATACAGAAGTTGGGTCTCAGATTTTCAGCCACATTTCATGCTCTGCAGCTGATAAAAATTTAAAACAGTCAGATCATATTTTCTTACTTATTCCTGGATTTACTGTCATCTGTCTGCACATTTAAATCTTATTATGTGAATGCAGTGAAACTTTAGTTGCATAATGTGGCTGTATCTCTCAACGATGTAGCCAGGGACAGACGAGATCCCTTCTGGATTGCAGATTGCGAGCTGTGTGTGTTGTGCGAGCTCTAACGGTGGCATCTGCTATGATTACAGGTTGCTGACTTGTCTATGGGAGATTTACTCCTCCACACCAGCGTGACATGGATCAACCCGTCCTCCTCACTGGGAAAGTGCAAGAAAGAGCCACAGCTGGCCACATTCGGTACGTTCTGTTTCCATACAACCTCAACTCATGATAAATAGATAGACAGACAGAGAGATATGTAATTTTGTTTCTGAAGTGAACTATTGATAAAAAGTGACAGTAAAGACATTTATAATGTTTCTATTTCAAATAAATGCTGTTCTTTTGAATCTATCTCTCATGGTTTCCACAAAAATATGAAGCAGCACAACTGTTTGCAACATTGATAATATTCAGAAATGTTTCTGAGCAGCAAATCAGCATATTAGAATGATTTCTGAAGGATCATGTGACACTGAAGACTGGAGTAATGATGCTGAAAATTCAGCTTTGATCACAGGAATAAATTACATTTTACAGTATATTTACATAGAAAACAATCTTAAATGGTAATCATATTTTATATATTATAATCAAAATTTTATACATTATATATTATAATGTCAGATCTCTGTGTAAACCATGTTAGTGATGCTCATGTATTTGTATGTTCTCAGTCTCTGCCCCGACTCGCACTCTGGGCCGCAGGAAACTGGTGCGGAACCGCTTCACCATCGACACGGACATTGTTTTCGACACCGAGCCTGACAGCGACTCGCCAGACTCCCAGCATGCTCAGCAGCAGGGCATCGTTCCGGCGGGCGACACCGACCGCTGGGTAGAGGAACAGTTCGACCTTCAGCGCTACGAGGAGCAGGAACAGGACGTGAAGGAAACAGACATCCTGAGCGACGACGACGAGTTCTGCCAGTCCGCTCTGAGCCCTTCCACCGATCCGGACGTGGAGGGTCCCCTTTCCGCCCTCTCACTGGAGGGAGACACGGCTGAGGAGGAAGAAGAGGAGGAAGAGGATGGCAAGAAGGACTACAAATCCCAGCATGCCAAGCTGTCTCATTTAGGGAAGCAGTGTGCCATGTCGGTGGCCAGTGTGGATGAGCAGGTGCCCGGTGAGGACATCTGGGTGCGACGGGACAGCAGCACAGAGAACGAGACACAGGACGAAACCCAGAGCTAAAACGCATCAGAAGACAGAGTCAGTTAAAGAAATAATTCACTCGAAAATTTTAATTTGCTGAAAGATTACTCACCCACAGGCGTTCCAAGATGTAGATGAGTTTGTTTCTTCATCAGATTTGGAGAAATGTAGCATCACATCACTTGCTCAGCAATGGATGCTCTGCAGTGAATGGGTGCCGTCAGAATGAGAGTCCAAACAGCTGATAAAAACATCACAATAATCCACAAGTAATCCACACCACTCCAGTCCATCAGTTAACTCTTAACATCAGTCAGTCAAGCCATTATATATGATAATCAAGTATTATTTAATGATAGAACTTAAGTAATTAAATTAATTAAAACTATGTATGAATGCATATTAGTCATTTTAACTGAACTTAGGACTGGTGGTGGTGCTTTTTTGCATTCAGTATTTCTGTAAAAAAAAATGGGGAAAAACTAACAATAATACAGATAATAATACTTAGAATTCTACTAATATGGGCAATATAAAACGCACTAAGGATTAACGAGCTGCTGGATTCAAGAATATTAATCAGGTTGTGTGCGTTCTCTCAAATTGATTTGCTGAAATTAAAACAGGGATGATAATAGGTGAGCACCAGCCAATGAGATTGCCGTTTGCGCACTAGTTCCGCCCACTACCTGAAAACTCAGCAGTTCTTAAAAGCTGAAAAAATCCAAAGGAACTCCGTTATTTTGACAGGAAACTACAACAAAGTATATAGTTTCTTTGCGTGTGTGAGACAAAGTGACGGCAAGTCATGCGCCGTTACACTAGAGTTCATGGTACGTCAAATACAGGTGCATTGCACATCCATTCAGATGAACTGAAAAATAGCAGATTGCTTGACGGAGAGTGAAACTCTGAAGCGCTCAGTCAGAGTGTTCTGTGAGTGAAAATATATCTGTGCTAAACTTATACTCAGCCTCCAACTCACACACTGGTGAGTAAAATCTGAGAATTTATTAGCCATTGGCTAATATTAGACATCATTTAGTCGCCCAGAGTGAAGATTTAGTGGCATATGCGAGTGATTTGCTCACAGTGTAGAGGGCTGAATAAATATCTGGGTGGATTTTGATGTGAGAGACAACAGGAGATTATTATGGATTACATTTACATTTATTCATTTATCAGACGCTTTCATCCAAAGCGACTTAATTGGGGAATACATCAAGCGATTAATCTTAAAGAGTTAAGTAGACACGGGGAGTTTCAAGCATTGTTCAAATAAGTGCAAACTGGACAGGGAAAGATTAAAGAAAAGAGAAAACAAAGTGGTTGTTGTTTTTTTTTCTAATTATGGACTGGTATTTTAGCCAGATATAAAAGCGTCTTAATGACAGCTTTGTTTCTTACAAACACACCGTTTGTGACATACAAGACGTTAACTGATGGACTGGAGTGGTGTGGATTATTGTGATGTTTTTATCAGCTGTTTGGACTCTCATTCTGACGGCACCCATTCACTGCAGAGCATCCATTGCTGAGCAAGTGATGCAATGCTACATTTCTCCAAATCTGATGAAGAAACAAACTCATCTACATATTGGATGACCTGAAAGTGATTCAATTTTCAGCAGATTTTCATTTTTGGGTGAAATATTCCTTTAAAGCTCGCCAGTCAAATAAATCAGCCGATGCATGCCAACAGTTTCTCTGTGCTAATATTCCGAATGGTAGACATTCCTTTCAAAGTAGCTGTAAGATATGAGGCTTTAAACACATTAGATGAGCTCTACGTGTGCGCTGTGGCCAATCAGAAACCGCAGGAAACGTGGTGGTACAATCGATAGAATTACTATTGCACATTCGCCGTTGGCAGCCTCAAACGTTTGACCGCCAACGTCTGCCAAACATTTCCGTTTCGTTCTTCACGTCGTTATTTCCAAAATAAGGGCTGGGATTTATTTATGATGTCCTTCAGATGTAAGAAGAACGACAGCCTGGTTAAATATCTCACTTTTTCATTATTTGTTCAGCATTGTCTCATATTTGTACAGAGAAGCTGTAAACGCCATTTTAATATTTGTGTTTATTTCTTTGCGATTTATCCGAAATGTACATACTGTGCACTATTCTGACCTGAAATCTACATGTAAATTGAATATTCATCGAGTAGTTGTGTTGAATATTGATTTAGATGTGCACATCTCAGGTCAAAATAATGCTGAATTAATTTTTATGATTCCTTTCTGAGAGCGGAGGATTTTTTTTACAGCTAATTCTAGGTCGCTATGTCCTGTTTTACTTGAATTTTGTTGATAAATGCAATATGATTTTTAGCTGATGGACTGTTCTGTTCCTGTTTAAATGGTTTGTTGTGGTTCAGCTCTACATGAATGACATAATGACCCACGATTTGACGCTTAAACTCACGATTGTTTATAGAAGACGATCCGAGCCCTTACACAGACAATGCATACAGTGTAATTTTTTTCATTAATTTTTTTATGTTTAAACGTGAGTATCTTACATTTAAATTTTGGGTTCATGTTTTTAAATTCCAAAATTTGCTGAATGCAATCAAGAGAAGCCACTGGAAAATATTTGAGATGATATTGACCAACCCAACCCTAATTGAAACGTTCCCATTGAGCTATAGAAATGCATTTTTATTTTGTATATAGAGCTGTGGATTGATATTATATCAAATAAACTGGTTTCGTACATATCAAAAGCCGGTTCCCTGTGATTCGTGGATGCTTCTGCATTTCCAGTATGTCTTTACACATTTACACCAGTGTTGTTAATAAGAGGCACTTCTGCTTGTGTGATCTTGCCCTTCATGTGTAAAAGTCAATGATAGTGGAATTTCAGTTGTACTGCAGCACTCTGCATTGCTGACAGATGGAAGTGCCAGGATGGCTTCGGGCTGAAGGTTTGAGCGGAAACTCTGGAGTCAAGAGTGAAATACAAGACGAGTGAAGCAATCAATCTCAGCGTTCAGATGAATCTGAGATATACGAGCTAATAGAGTTCTTCTCCTCAGGCCAGACTGACATCAGCAGACCACACACACGCATCAGCATCTTCATTTATAGAAACTATAATTTTTTTCAATTTATTAATGTTTTTAAAAGGTGTCATTCAGATCAGAGTCAACTATGTAATGAAGGTAGATGTAAACCTTTATGAGTGTTTTTCATGTCATATCATTTTTTGCTGTTGTGCATGTTTAATTTGAGAATTTTCACATTATCTTGGAATTAACATTTAAGTATGCTACTTTTTTGCCGTTTTCATGAATTTTCATAATTGTTATACAGCTGGAAATTTGTTGCTTATTCATAAGTCATATATTTATAAATTTGTTTAATTATAACATAATATGTAATTATAACATTAATTATATATTTGTATTTTTAACCATAAAATCAATCTACCTCCCAATGGTGGAAGTTGGTACCATGCTTTTGTGCAAAATATTTTTTGTAGGCCTGCTGTTCTTAGTGCACACATCAAGTATGCGAAAACATTATTATGATGCTGTGCATAGAAAATGCATGTTTTTGTTACAGCAGAATATGTGGAAAATCGACTCAAGAAGACGCTTTGTTTCCGTAAGTTCATTACTGTGTTGCTTACGTTTCCATTTCAATGTTAAAAGTCTTTTTTTTTTTTTTTTTGGTCTTTCTGTGTTGGCTACTACAATTTTGACAGATGTTGAGAAGATAAATAAAATATACTTTCACATTTAATCTTTGACTTGAAGGATTCGGGATTTACTAGAGGACTGCTGTTGAGAAAACAAGGTAAGTTTATCAAGTTAAATTTTTACTAAACGAACCAACATGTAGGCTAAATATTAGCCTAATTTACAGAGTTTCTAAAAGTACTGTTAAAAATTAACCATGGTTTTACTACAAATAAAAAACCATGGGAATCACAAATTAACCATTTTTGCTACAATAGCCATAGTTTAACCATGGTGTTTGCAGTAAAACTGTGGTTACCACACTAGCCTATAATAAAACCATGTTTTCGTAAGGGCATGGTACCATGGTAAAATAATGGAAATTGGTAGTAATACGTTGTAGCGAATGATAATCATATTCCCATGGATATATATATATAAGCAATACATATATGCGTGTTTACCATGTGAAAATAATAATTTACGTATAACGTAAACGTAACGTATATGTAAAATAAAGAAATGCCTTTAGTTTGTTATTTTTTTATTGAATGCTTTGAAATTGTGTTTTCAAGTAGTATATTTTGTAGTTTTGATGTTTAAGGCGCAGTTTTAAACAGATGCGCTAGATGGCGCACAAACATTTCGTGTAACTTAAATATGCAA